CAGTCACAATTGATCCTCTGAATGCAAAGACATTGCCCCTTCAGTTGTTGTTTGCTATCTGTGGAAAAATGCCTGGTACATTTTAATGACTTGATATCCAACTAATGTTCAGAAATGGGCACTAAGTCCCTGCATTCATTTAGCAATACCGAGAAACTGTTTTGGGTAAAGTGGTAGTCAGAAATATTTTCAAGGTAGAGAAATGGCTCAAGTAATTAGTGAAAAACATATCTAAATTCCTCACAAACTTCTATCATCGTCCTCGTTTTGGATGATCCATCTGTTTTGAAAGGCTTCTTAAGAGAAAAATAAATGGTGAGAGAGGAAAACAGTGTGTGTTTGACAGAGTTTGTGTACATGGATGGGCCTGTCTTGGGGCAGATGCATGAGCAGCAGGGCTAGAGTGTGCTAATGCATTTCTTCTTGTGCTGTCTTTATCAACAGCATAGGTAAGTCTCTCATACTAAGTTTGCTGCTTAGTGGAGAGAGGTAAACAACTCCTTCTTTTGTATTCATTTACCCTTTTCTAAGAATATGCTTACCCAGCAGTAAAGCAGTTGGATTTATCAGGTTGTTACCTGCATATAATATTTTTTCCTGCTTTCTTTGATTATTAAGTCTTTTAAAGTTAATTAGTAGCAACAGCTACTACCTGGGACTCCTTTTGGGGAGAAATGGATTTGAAAAATATTAAATCACTATATCTGTTAAAATTTGAATGGCATCATTTATTTTAAAACCAAAATTTCCTTTTTTCTTCAATTTCTGAAAACATTTTCCTTATGTTTTATGACAGAAATTAGCCATTTATCTTTCCATTTGCAGAGACTTCATTTTAATTATAGTAAGCTGTATTAAAGAAGAAAAAGGTAGCATGAAAGAAAGCTCATTTCTGATGTTTGCAAAAGTTTTCATAATGAGAACTGTTCATTTTTCTTCTTTTCCTTACCATCTATTATTCCCATGTCTACTTTGAATCATTGTGTTTTTCTCCAACAAAAATGATCTCATATGCTCTTAAGATTATTTTTTGGAGTGCATTTCATTAATTCTATTTCTAAATTTGCTTTTCTTACTTTGTAGTTTCCTTTATCTTCAAACTCTTTATTTGGTCTTCTATATCATAGCTTCACATGAGATCTGGGGTATTTATTGGCTGTAACCACTGTTTAACAATAAGTATTCCTGTGGCCGGCGCTGCAGCTCACTAGGCTAATCCTCTGCCTTGCGGCGCCGGCACACGGGGTTCTAGTCCCGGTCGGGGTGCCGGATTCTGTCCCGGTTGCCCCTCTTCCAGGCCAGCTCTCTGCTGTGGCCCGGGAGTGCAGTGGAGGATGGCCCAAGTATTTGGGCCCTGCACCCCATGGGAGACCAGGATAAGTTCCTGGCTCCTGCCATCGGATCAGCGCGGTGCGCCGGCCGCGGCAGCCATTGGAGGGTGAACCACCGGCAAAAGGAAGACCTTTCTCTCTCTCTCTCTCTCTCACTGTCCACTCTGCCTGTCAAAACAAAACAAAAAAACAATAAGTATTCCACAAACAATGGAAAGTATTGCTTTGACCAAGTTGTTAATATTTATCATGAATGTTGAGTCATTGTATTATAACAGAGTAACCATATATATTCATATTCATATTCAATGAATATGTGATTTCTAGTGGATAGATATGTGTAATTGTAGAATGAAATAGTTGCCTCATGATATTTATCTCTGGATGTTGTAGCACAGTTAACCCACAATTCTTTTACTTGGTTATTATTATCTGCTACCGAAAAGTATTTCCAAGTTATCTTAATTTAGGTAATAATATAGCATGTTCTGGGCCCAGATATCTTAGTTATTGAGTCTACAATCTTATCTACTATTTGATCCTCCTAAAAAGCAGAGAGATTTGAGCTGACAAAAGACATTAAGGCTCTCTATTCAGAGACTATATAGGGAATTAGGTAGCTGCTGTCCTTGGTGATGAAATTATTTCACGTGAATTCTAAAGGAAAACAATTAGTTAAAAACGAAGAATAATCTGGCATATACTATTTGTGGCTATTGTTAGTATCTTCATAGATCTATTTGAACTTCTAGAAAAATACTGACTCCCGTATCTTAATGTCTTGAGTTCCTGACTGCCAGGCAGAGGAAATGTTTAACTATTTTAATCATGTTTCTGTATCTCGGAAAGAAAGCCCTTATGAGAGGAAATGACAAGGTCCTACCACAAAGTTATCTCTTATCAGTTATAGTCTTCAGTCGATAATGATTTGTCAAATTTGGACATGTGTAAAATGCAAGGGCTGTGTTATTTACTTTGGAAAGGAAAAATTAGATGAAGCTGATAAAAAAGGAGTCATGGCTTTTGTTAGGAGACAGAAACCATTAGGGACAGTCATTGTTAGCTTAGGAAAGTGTCCTTGGACCCCTCCCTCTGCCCCAGCTGAAACCTAAGCCTACTTGAATCATTCTTTGCAACTTGAGGGGAGGGAGGGGCAAAGGAGGAAAGAAGTATGAAGACAGCTTTGACGGAAAGCAAGTATTTTAAATGGAGAGCAAGATGTGGACCTTAAACAGACCTATTTCTGTTAGTCAGGAAAAGCTGCCCTTTGTTCTGGTTCTCTTCCCGCCCCCCATTTATTTAGGTTTTTGAAAGTTCATTTCTTATCCTTCACAACGTGTAGCATTCCTTCACGTAGTAGTGTATGTTGCTCTTCTCCTTTCGCCTTTCTGTCGATGTGATTCTTTTTCATTAGTGCAGCAGAGAAAACACAGCTAGCTCAAAGCAACATGAGTCAGTGCATACTTTACATACCGCTATCCTCACAGCGCTCCTCTGGGTTCACTCCTAGTGTTCCTCACAGAGGGGAGCAGAGAGGAAAAATGATTTCTAAATTTTAGGCTGTGTTGGGGGTGGAGGTAAAGATTGTGAACTGAAGACCCATTTTGCTCTTTGATCATTTGTCTGTATATCAGGGTAGCAGGCAGTCAAGGGCTTAGGAAGACTTAACTGGATGCTGGTTTCAGAGGCCAAGAAGCAGGAGGGCTTGTGGGTCAGGGCACTGTAACGTGTTCACAGCTGATATAATGATGCCACAAGTTTCACAGAGAATAGGTTGGGTTGTAAATATTTGCTGAAGATGACAGAAAGGCCTTTGCCATCTCTCTCTGCTTTTTTAGTTTTCACAGATAACATTTGTCTTAGCTGATTAGTGACCAAGTATCTTTCTGTAAGTGCCCCTGTTGGCTTGTTTTCCAAAGATTCGTAGGAAAAATACTCCTTAATTTTACATATGCATATGTGCTATTTGTATGTTGGTTAATACTATTGTGAATATAATTTTTTAACGTTTTTCTGGTTTTCTTCTTTTGAAATTGTGTTTTGCTGTGTGGTATAGCCTCTGGTTTTCTGGCAAGATAAAAGAAATTTCCTGTTTTTTTTTTGGTAAGATAAAATAGGCTCTGGTTTTCTGGCAAGATAAATTTCCTTCAAATCCCAACATTGCAATCGAAGAGAGGAGACTGGAAAGATGCTTTAATGATGTGGTCATTTCAGACAAGAAAACCTCAAATTGCTTATACTTGCTGACCTTTTTTGTGTTATTAAAATGAAAATGAGTGTGTAAAGTTACAGTTTGTATAGAATTTTTTAATCCTACTTTTTCTTCAACAGCATGGTGCCCATCTGTCCATAAAATATTTTCCTTAGTAATCTGCATTGCTTGTTAACTCTTCTACAGGCTTGTTTTTCTTATTTTAAGTCAAATTATTCTTGGGCCATGGTGTAGGATCTTGAGCAGCTCTTACCATCAGTCTTTAGATTCACATAAAGGTTTGTTTTGCATGTTGAGAGAAAATACTGCACTATGAGGTACTTAGATGTAGAGACTTATTAATCTTTGCCCTTATGGATATGAAGCAGATGAACAGAATAGTTAATAAATTTGAACCAATATTTATTTTATGTCTTTGTTTATAAAGAAATTAATTTATTTGAGAGGCAGAGATAGAGTGTGCCCATTCACAAGTCCATTTCCCATAAACCCTCAATGGCTTGGATTATACTGGGTTCAGAGCTGGGAGCTGGGAATGCAATCCAGGGTTCCCACATGGACAGAAGGAACCTTATTATTTGAGCCATCATGTCTGCTTTCCAGGGCCATGTTAGCAGAAAGCTGGAGTCCAGGGCTGGAGCATGGAGGCCCTCTGATGTGGGATGCAGGTTTTAACCACTAGACTAAACACCTTCTGCAAACGTTTCTCTTTTTTCTTGCTAAATCCCTCTGTGCTTATGTCAACTGATTGCCTCCTGTTTTTAAGTTGAGGAAATCTAGGCCAAAGTAAATTGTGACTAACTCATTATAAAGTCACATAGCAAATCAGTTTTAGCACTGAGACTGGACTCCAGTTCTTAACTGAGGTTTTTTTTTTTTTTTTAATTTTACTTTCTCTTTGGATGTCTAGGTTTAATTAAATACATTATTCACACTGTCATCTGCAGGTGTTACTTCTAGGTTTGACTTTTCCTTTCTTGTTCTTACTTTTCACATCGTCTCTCTTTCCTTCCTAGTATATTTTTATATTTAGCTTGTGTGCTATCTTATTTACTAATTCTTGTACCTTTCAGAAGTTGGTTGGCAGGCTATTTAATTCCTTTTGTGTGGTAAGTTTTGTTTTTTATCAATGAAACTTGTTTTTTCTATCTAAACTACCAAGTTTGTTAGAAGACAGATTCAAGTCATCAATGTCACATTTCCACATCCAAGATATTTCTCTAAAGGCAGGTGCAGGGTCATTGCCTCCTGTTTCTTTTTTTGTCCTGTCCACCCTTGTGGGCTTTGTCCCAGCCTTGGTGTATGTCTTTTGTTAATACTATGAGTAAAATACCATTTAGAAGCTAGACCTGATTTTTTTTTTTTTTTTTTTGCTTAACATTTGTGTAGTAAAAAATGAATGCAGTTGCTGTTAATGTCTTTGTGTGAAATCTTTTCGGTTAATCTTCTGTTTCCAGGTACCTGGGGCCCAAGATTTGGTGGATTTCTCTCCTGTTTATCGATGTCTACATATATATTCTGTCCTGGTGAGTGTTTTTCTGGCTCTAACAAATATGTATATTGAATTCAAAATGCTGCTTTCTCATTTTTGGTAGCTTTTCTGTTTATTATTGAGAGTGAAGGATAAGAAGCAATTGTTGTTTATAGAATATTAATTATAAAAAATAATCATCATTAACTTGCTTCTTTAGTCTTTGGTTTTCCATGTGATATGCTCTACATGGTAATATTTCTATCTATCCTCAATAAATTACAGATTATAAATATAAATATTCAATAATATTCAGATTTATTTTTAAATTTTGGTAATATATTATTTAAACAAAAATACCTTTACACATTAAAGTAATATTTGTGGAAACTAGTTGCTGTTTTATTCCTGATGACAACTACTCCTTTTGTCGTAGAAAGTACGTGGTAATAGGAACATGTCTGGGAGGAAATATCATGAGTGTTAATGATATTTGGGGAAATGTCCACTTTCTTCCTGTTGGTGGTATATCTACTGGCAGGCACATAGAGTCATGGAGTGCTTACAAAAATTAAATATCAGTAAAGGCAAAATGATGAGAAAATCCACAGTTGATTTTTTTTTTAAAGCAAAGTTTGGTGAAGCTTATATCAGATTGTTTTTATTATGCTCAAATATGTCTTATTGCCAAATTTGTTACTCATTTTCTTTCATCAAATATTTAACATAGTTCCACTTTGTCATAACTCTGGACAGTTTGGAACATGGTCTATGGACTTTATGGGCTGAAATATTTTGTAGTAGTCTCCATTAGTTTTAGAAAAGGCCTAGTAACTTCCTTTCCTCTCTCTCCTCCCACTTCCTGTTCATTTTCTCTTCCTCTTTCTCTCTTCCTTCTTTCTTCTCCAGTTCTCTCCACCTGATATTCCTTGTTATACAAAAATGGAGATGTATATAGTTTGAGTCAAGATATCTAAAACAAGTAGACAATTCTTTTCAATCTCAGATGTGGGGAATTTAATCTTTTACACCTCAAGTTATAACACTCTCATCATTTCACAAAGGACCCTCTTTTATTTTATTGAAGTATCTTTTTTTCTACCACTCTTTATCTACAAGCCCACTTATTTCTCAGCTCCAAGTATAGTAACACTGATATGTTTAATACGTGGTTGTGGGTGTTTCTGTGCTCTTGGAAAAAATGTAGTGATTTTGTGTATTCCATATGTTTCAGATTACTCAAATGGTATTGTGCTGTGGCTCTAGTCATACTTATATTTTCATTCAGCACCATTTTATCTATCGTGTTAGAGTCTGTATATCTGGTTCATTTCTTCCAGCTATTGCATGATAGTTAATTGGTGGTTTTTATTTGCTATTTTAATAACCTCCTACTTTAGTCGTCAACACTTAAAGTGTCTAACATTCTCCTGTAACAAATAGTATTTCCTTATGAATGTGTGTATAAGTTTTTATACCTTGGAGTGGAATTGGTGGATCATACGGTGTAGTTCTGAATTACATAATTCTTAATTGCATTAATTTATAATTTTTAGCTAGTGATATTGAATGGCATTTTTCAATTTTAATTTGTGTCTCTCATTACTGGTAACACTTGTGTTTCTGTTTATAGACTTACTAATCATTTAAGAGTTTTCTTATATAAAATACCTATTTTTTAACCGTTGTTCAGTGTTTGTGTTGGGTTTCTTTTGTTTTTCTCTTTATTGGAAAGAGAAATTTTAGAATTTCCACACATTGTTGATATTGACAATGTATGATTCCAATGTCTTCTTTTTCCCAATTTGTCACTGGATTTTAAACTATGTATATGTTATTTTTCATAAGACAAAAATTTTTAATTTTTATATAATCAGTTCCATCACTTTTAGCCTTACAGTTCATAGCTTTTGAGTCATGTTTTATCAAAAAAATCTCTCTATCCCAAGGTCACAGAATGTTCTCCTTATATTTCCTATAATATATTGTCATTCACATTTTTATGTTCATCTGTTTTGGACTTACTGTTGTGTATAGTATGAGGCATGGATGCAACCTTAATTTTTTTCTATATGATGAGTTCAGTTTTACCAGTTTCATCTGTTATTTTGTAATCTGTATATCATCTAAATGATTCTGGTTAGTACCATTGGCATAGACTAAATTTCCATCATTATGTATGTTTGTTTTTCTGAACTCTTTTTTTCATTTTATTTGATTTTGTAACACATCTAAATATATGGTAAAAGAAGTCCCTTTTTATTTCTCTTCTTTTAAAGTCCCTTAGTTTGAAGACCATTTCCATACAATATACTTTAGAATCAGCTTAAGTTCATAAATAAAATCTCTTCTTGAATTTTGATTTGAATTGTTTGAGTTTACAGATAGATTTTGGGAAAAATTAACTCCTTAAAAGTGCTAAGTCATCCCATTCATGAAAATATAAGATCATTTTTCCCATAATTAAGAGTTTGTGGTTGTTTTGTTTTTAATTCTTACTTATTTATTTTCATTTTGTTTGAAAGGCAGACAGAGACCCAGAGAACTCTTCCACTCACTTGTTTATTCCTGAAATGCCTACAACAGCTAGAGCTAGGCCAGGTAGATGCCAGTAGCCCAGAACTCAATCCGGGTCTCACATGCGGGTGTCAGGAACCCAACACTCTGCTGCCTCCAAGGGTGCACATAAGCAGGAAGCTGGAATTGGAAGCAGTGCCAGGGCTCAAATCCAAGTGCTCTGATACCAATGCAGTATCCCAAGCAGCATCATAACCATTGTGCTAAATGCCTACCCCGAATAGGATCTTTAAAATTATTTAATTGAACTTCTTAAAAACCAATGTTAACAACCTCAAGGATTTTTTTGTTACATTAATAGTGACACAATGACAGCTTTTATGGCAGTTTCCTATTTTATTTTCTAATTATTTACTGCTGACATTGAGGAACACTGTTGTTATGTGTAAGTTGATTTTAAGTCTGGTAACCTTGCTCAGCTCTTCTAGCTATAGTAGTGTTTTTGGCTTAGGATAGGCTTTCTGTGTAGTCAACTGTGTTATTTGCATATATTGACTTTTTTCTTTCTATTCATAAAACTCAGTGTTCTTTTCATTCTCTTACTGTATCCACCAGAATCATTTTTACTTTATTCATTAAGGTACTAGTGGATATTTGTGTCTGATTTCTAATTTTAAAGAGAATTCATGTAAAGTGTTTTAGTTGACTGATATTTATAGTAGATTTTGGTAATTTTAAAAATCTAATTATTCCTAGATTTCTGATACTTAAAAAACATAAATGAATATTGAGTTTTATTGCATTTGTTTTCCATATATATTAATATAATCCTGTGGATGTATCCTTTAGTTCAGAAACATGGTGAATCACATTGATGTATTTTTTCTGACATTAAATTATTCTTGCATTCTTTAGATAAACTTCACTTGATTAATATGTATTACTACTTTTGTATCATCCTGTAAAATGTAACTCCTTTTTTGGTGCTTTATTATTATTTTTTTGTATTTGTTTATTTGGTCACAACACAAGCCTGTAAGTTTCTGTTTTTGTGTGTTGTTCTTATGTGACTGAATTTATTTTATTATGTTATTTTAATCTAATTCTAGAGAGTTGATCATCTCTCCCTTTTTTCTATTTTGTGAAATGACTTATATAAGATAGAACTTATCTGTTCTTTTGAAAGTTGGGTAAAACTCACATATACAGTCATGAGAATTTTTCCTTGACTTCTTCCTTTCTCCCTTATTTTCTTCCATGCTTTAGGATTTTGTTTAGTCTCTTTAGTAGTATGTATGGAAATGGGGGTTCAGAGTTTTATGTAAGGTAGATGTCCAGAAAATGAATCATATTTATTCACATCAAATTTCAAGGTTTATAGTAAGTTTCACAATTGAAATTGAAAACTCAAGTGGTTTTTCTGTTCAAATTATGCAGTCTATGGAAATGAATAGTTTTATGTTTGAAGTCATATTCTTGTTACCAACAGCAGTACTAGGCATGTTGTAGATACTAAGTAAATATTATTTGTATAAATAAATAAATAAATATATAGTAGCCAAAGACTAGTATGTCTGAACATTCATTGATTCAATTCTTATTATTCATTTACTTTTTCAATAAACACTGAATTGTACTTCTATATGAATTGTATTTGAAAAAGAGAAGATGTATACATAAATCAAGGATTTATGCTTTAAAATCATAACAATATGCCAGGAGAGATGTTAGGTTGCTGAATGATTATGACAGCACTATTTGTCATCATTGTATGTACTTTAGTATTTTTAAAAAAGGTTTATTTTATTTATTTGAAAGTCAGAGTTACATAGAGAGGGAGAGACAGAGAGCGAGGTCTTCCATCTGCTAGTTCACTCCCCAAATACCCACATCAGATGGGGCTGGGCCAGGCCAGACCAAAGCCAGGAGCCAGGAGTTTCTTCTGGCTCTCCCACTTTTCCCAAGCCATTATCAGGGAGCTGGATTGGAAGTCAGGACTTGAACCCACGGCCATATGGGATGCTGGCCTTGCAGGCAGAGGCTTAACCTGCTACACCATAATGCCAGCCCCTATACTTTAGTTTTTATAAACTGAATTATGATGTTATGATATTTTATTTGAAGTGAGAATTCTAATAGTGATTCATAGGTGTGTTGAAATAATTTATTGCGCATTTACAAGCTGTATAATCTAGCTTAGCTTTCTTGTGTATGAAACAGTATAATAATTAGCTGCTTAGAGCAGTCACAGATACTGAATGAAGAATGCCTGAATGCCTGACACATAATTGCCACTTAATAAGTGCCCATTGTCTAATGGGAATTATATATCTGATGCTGATGGTTAGTCACATCATTGGCATTGTTAAAAAATAGATGGGGTAAAGTATAGACATGTAAATAGGGATTCTACTCTTTGTCATCAAACTTTACATTTAAAAAAATATATTTTTAAGGTATAAAGACTATGTAGTCGTATTAAACTGTGTGGAAGTTATAATGTATTGGTAGTTTGAGATCATAGGCTCTAGAAAAGTA